ACCTCTGAGCCCCCACTCTTCTCCTTCTCCCCATATATCATCTTTGCTTCTGTCCAAATAACTGTTCATACTGTTGCTCCTGTGCCTTCTGCAGCCAAAATGCCTAAGCATAGCTAGGAAATGGATATTTATATAACTGATTATAGGAAAAATGATATTTGGATTTAAGTAATAATCATCCCTTTGAACTTTCTGGCCTACTGATAATGAAACATTTGCCTATCTGTTTTCTAAGCCTTACAATACTAAAGTTTACTTTTACAGTTGTTTCATTTGTTTGTCTGTTTTTACCCTTTTTCCTCTTTGACTGGGATTATTACAGGAAGACTCATTCAAATAGCTCAGCAGAAAGAATGGCTGTGCCCACTTGTGGAATGATTATGTGAGGCATTGCACCCACATATCTGGGAGAGCAGAATTTTCAGCAAGGATGGGACAAGTCATAAAGGCTGCTGGGCTCCTGAGTAAGCACTACTACAGGCAGAAAAGGAAATGCCTGCACAGGTTAAAGAGGTAGTTTGAAATGGGAAAGTGAAATTATATTGATCCCAGCCACTAAGGACTGCTGTGGCCTAAAATCAACTCACCTTTACTGACTTAAATAGAACAGGCTACTTTTATGAAGAACAGCACAAAGCTTTAATATAATTTGACTAACAAATCTTGAGAGAGAATTATATTATCTGCATGGATAGGAACATTTTTAATTCCACTAGACAATAAAAGTTAAGAAAGAGCACAGCTACATGCAAACAGTAGGGAAAGATCTTGTGCCGAAGGCTAGGGAAGAGACTACGCTAGTACCTGCTGTACATTGGAGTTGGCTGTGACACTGCCTAGCTGCTTGCGTAGCTCCTCAAGCTCCTGTAGAGATATCTTGGAAGTAGATGAGGAAATGGAAAAATTTGTGCTGCCACTGGCTACTGCATTTGCTGCAAGTTCCGCTCTTTCTTTAGCATTTTGTTGCAAATACTGGAGTGTCTGTACATACACAAAAAAAAAAAAGGAGAGATTTTGTGAATATTGGTCAACATGTAATAAAGCAAAAAACATCTGACCATAAGATGGTTATGCTGCATCAGACCACAGGTCTTCACATCCCAGTATCATGTCTTAAAGTGGCCTATGTCAAGAGGAGCGCAATTCTCAGGAGTGCTTTAATGTAAATGCTAGAACTGATTATATTTAACAGAAAATGCTAGAACTGGTTGTGTTCTGTTGATTTCAATGCATTTCACCTAACATTATCATCAGAAAGTGTGCGCACTTAAGACCACTGCATTGCTACTACTTCTGAGTACTTATAGCAAACTCAGTTCTAATACAGAAACAAACCTCTTTATCTTCTGTGAGCTTTGACAGCAGATATACTAAAGAATCTAGATGTCTTGTATTTTTAGACTTCAGCTCATCATACTTCTTTAAAAAATCTTCAGGTGTTCGAGAAAATTCTGCTATTTTAACCTGTAAAACATCAAGTTAATATTAAATGTTTAACAGACATTATCATCACAGCATTCAAGGGAGGAGCATTATGCAAGGATGGAGACAAGGTGTAGGCTAGTGCTGGCTCCAAAGTACTTCAGGGAATAGGCTTTGGACTGAATGATACAGCATTGGCTTCCTACTAATAATTACAACAGAGGTGTGGGAGGGTCCTAGAACTACAGGTGATGGCCATGGTACTGCAGGAGTGAAAAGATTATGGAAAGCACAAGATCTGTAGCAGAACTGACTTTGCACATGCACAGTCTGAAGCAATAGTTCTGTATCAGCAGGCACTTGGTACCAATGAAGCCCCATCTGGATATCAGGTCCTCTTTGGGGGCTTCACTAACAATAGAGATATGAACAAAAAGGATTGAACCCAGAGCATGGGCACAGCATGTTGCCCATTGCTCACAGAGGAGCTGCAGACTTTGCCATGAGAGGAACAGCAAAAGCACAGGAGGCGCTGACACAAACAGCACCAAAGAAAGCCCAAGCTGTCCCTGGGGTCCTTTACTGAGAGAGCAATGCTGCCCTGGGATGGGGCCTAGGGAAACGGAGGAATCTCTTGAAGGTATTCAAAATACAGCTAAGCAATCTGCTGTGGCTGAGATGTTGGCCCTGCTATGAACAAAGGGTTGGACTACGGATCTCCAGCAGTGCCGCTTCCTCCTTTAACCTTCCTACATTTCAGTGAATTATAGCTGTAACATAAATGATGAGTACGTCTGGAGTACAATGGCCATGGAAGTATGCCTGGTCACTGAGAGTGTCAGGCTTTAAATCCCTGATACCATGGGTGGGTACTCAGAAAGAAAGTCAGGATATTGTTCAGACAATCCCATTTCATAGGATTACTATTTTTCATTTGTTTTATTTCTTCAGAGAACAACCCCTCTAATTACAATTTGAAACAACCATCACAGGCACAAAATAAGCTCCTTTTAATTTTTCTCCCAGTTTTAACAAACCTCATGTTCTTTCACCAGTTCCTCCAAGATGCAAGGATTTTATTTTTTTTTTTATCTTTTCCTGATGAGATCTTTTCTACTCTAAGTTGAAAGTCAAGACTCCAGATGAGGTTATACACAAAGAAATCACACTGAAGAGAGTTTATGCCTAGTTTCTCCGTAGGATGCCTTGTCTTCATGGAGCCAGCAGCTTATAGAATCATAGAATCATTGAGGCTGGAAAAGACCTCCAAAATCATCTGGTCCAACCATCCCCCTACCACCACTATTACCCATTAAACCATGTCCCTGGGCACCATGTCCAACCTTTCCTTAAAGGCTGCCAGGGATGGTGACTCCACCACCTCCCTGAGAAACCCATTCCAATGCCTAATCCCTCTCTCTAAGAAATGTCTCCTAATTCCCAACCTGAACCTCCCCTGGTGAAACTTGAGGACATTCCCTCTAGTCCTGTCACTAGTCACCTGTGAGAAGAGGCCGACCCCCAGCTCCCCACACCTCTCTTTCAGGTACCTGGAGAGAGCAATGAGGTTTCCCCTGAGCCTCCTCTTCTCCAGACCAAACACCCCCAGTGCCCTCAGCCACTCCTCACAGGACTTGTGGGCCAGGCCCTTCACCAGCTTTGTAGCCCTTCTCTGGACACGCTCCAGGGCCTCAATGTCCTTGTAGTGAGGGGCCCAAAGCTGAACACAGCACTCAAGGTGCTGCCTCACCAGAGCAGAGTACAGGAGGACGATCACCTTCCTGGTCCTGCTGGCTGCACTATTCCTGATACAAGCCAGGATGCTGTTGGCCTTCTTGACCACCTGGGCACACTGCTGGCACACGTTCAGGCGAGCACCGACCAACACCCTCAGGTCCTTTTCCTCTGCACAGCTTTCCAGCCACCCTGCCCCAAGCCTGTAGTGTTGCATGGGGTTGTTGTGACCAAAGTGCAGGACCCAGCATTTAGCCATGTTGAACATCATCCCCTTGGCCTCTGCCCATTGACCCATCCTGTCCAGGCCCCTCTGCATGGCCTTCCTACCCTCTGGCAGACCGACACTTCCCCCCAGTTTGGTGTCATCTGCAAACTTACTGAGGGTGCACTCAATTCTCCCATCTAAGTCATCAGTAAACATATTAAAGAATAAGGGCCCTGACACCAACCACTGGAGAACACTACTGGTGACTGGTCACCAGGTGGACTTCACTCCATTCACCAATACTCTGTAGGCCCGGCCAGGTAGCCAGTTTTTAGCCCAGCAAAGAATGTACTTGTCCAAGCTGTGGACTGCCAGCTTCTCCAGCAGAATACTGTGGGAGACCGTGTCGCTTTTGGCAGCAATTGCAAAGGAAGAACAATGCTTCAGTAGGTCTGCCCGTAAGACTTTAAACACATCTCAGCCGTGACTATAGCACAGCATTTACCTTAGCACTGTGTGCAGAGACAGTGGTGGTAACATACGGCGTGCGGTTCTTCTGCAGAAGATCGATGTACACTTCGGCTCCTTCCCCTCCATGGACATGCAGCAGGCTGAGCAGCTCATTAACATCGTGGTGGATGCGGAACTCGCTCATATTTCTGCCCGAGGTTACAAACCGTATGGTGCACAGAAAGAAAGGCAGTGAGGTATTATTTTGCTTCATAAAAATGTAAACCAAGTGAGGTATTATTTTGCTTCATGAAAATGTAAACCAACATTTCCTAACTTTATTATGAGCCCACAGGGTACATTTAATTGGGATAAAAAAAATATGCGTAAGGGGAGAAAGCAAGCAAAACTGCAACTCTGCATCTGGCCTGGTTTACCTCTGCTCACTTCAGGTGCGGGTGAACCAGCAGAGGACTTTTCATCATGGAAGTGCCAAGAGCTGCCAAGTTACTGTCTCTTTACGAGAAGAGCTGGCGTGCTGAGCAACACACTGCAGGCACAGCTGAAACTGTCTATGCCCCCATTGCTTCTGGGGTTACTCAACGGCAGCTCTTCCACGCTGAAGTGTCTTTACATTCCGCTGCCCTTTATTACGAACGGATGAACGCAAAATTAACTGTTCAAGTCTGCAGCTAGGAAGGCCACAAGTGCAAGAGCAGGACAGAACCAGCAGTGAGGGGTTCGCCACCGCAAGCCTTAGACGTGCTGAGCAGCGAGCACACGGACGCGCTTTGGGCTTGCCGAAAAATAAAAGAGAGAAAAATGAAAAGAGGAAAAGAAGAAAGGAAAAACAAAAACAAAAAAAAAAAAAAAAGAAAAATACAAAAGGGAAAAAAAAAAAGGAAAAATAAAAAAGGGAAAAAAAAGAAAAATAAAAAAGGAAAAAAAAAAGAAAAATAAAAAAGGAAAAAAAAAAGAAAAATAAAAAAGGAAAAAAAAATAAAAATGAAAAGAGAAAAGGAAAAAGAACCGTTTGGAGCGGCTGCCTGAAGGCCCGTGCGTGAAGCTCCGCCCGGCGAGGAACCAGCGAGCGGCGGGTCCCCGCCCCGGGGCCAGCCCCAAGCGGCGGCCCCGCTCCCTCCCGGCCCCCTCCCGCCCCGCCGTGCCCCGTCCTCACCCCGCGGCTCCGAGCGGCTCCCGCTCCCGCTCCCCAGCCCGAGCCCGAGCCCGCCGCGGGCCCCCGCCCGGAAGCCTCCGCCGCCTCCCCACGGAAGCGCTGCCGGCGCCTGCGCGCTGCCCGGCCGGCCCCCATGGCGCTGCTCGGCCGCCCGCGGGAGCGGCCCCCGCCGCCCTGCCGGGCTCCGCCGCGGCCGCCCTTCTCCTTCGCCCCGCGCCGCCTGCGCCTGGGCCCGCAGCACCCGCTGCTGGAGGTGAGGCGGAGCGGGGCGGGGGCAGGGGGGAGCGGCGCGGCCGCGGGCAGCCCCCAGCTCGCCTCTCCTCTTGCAGGGCGGCGACGTGCAGAGGCACCTGTACCTGCGGGACGCCCTGACGGACCGGGCCGAGGAGGCAGAGAGACCCAGGTGCGGTGCTGGGGTTGCGGCAGCCGACAGGGGACCCCAGCGAGCGGTGCCGCCACGATCCTAACTCCGTCGCGTCCTTCGGCTGCTTTTCGGATTGTTCGCGAAGAAGTCATCGCGTACCCCGAGCTGGCAGGGGCCCGCAAGGAGCACCGAGCCCAGCTCCTGGCTCCACGCAGCACCACCCAAACCCCAAATCCTGTGTCTGAGAGCTCCTTGACCTCCGGCAGCTCGGTGCTGTGTGCCCAGTCCCCGGGCAGCCTGTCCCAGTGCCCAACCACCTCTGGGTGCAGAACCCTTCCCTAACCCCCAGCCTGACCCTCCCCTGTCCCAGCTCCATGCCGTGCCCTCGGGTCCTGTCGCTGTCCCCAGAGAGCAGAGCTCAGCGCCTGCCCCTCCGCTCCCCGTGAGGGAGCTGCAGGCCGCAATTCTTCCTCTCCCCTTCCTTCTTAAAAAGGCCACAGTTAAATAAAATCTTCTAAAGAGATGCACACACCTTATGTTAAGGCACTAATTTATATGTTGAGTATGGCTGTAACATACTGTTGATGTCCTAATTTCCTCATAGGGTGTCTGAATTCTGTTGTCACATCTCTGGGTGCTCCCAGGTCTTTGACACCCTGGAGGGCTACGAGCACCACTACAACACACTGCACAGGAACGTCTGCTCCTTCTGCAAGCGCTCCTTTCCTTCAGGGCATCTCTTGGATATCCACATCTTGGAGTGGCATGACTCACTTTTCCAGATAATGGCTGAGAAACAGAACATGGTGAGTCTTCCAGTTGGATGAGTCCCGTGGAAGTGGCAGTTGCCCTGTGTGTGGCAGGTTGCTGGCAAGGCAGTGAGACTGAGAAAGCCACATTTTCTTTAACTTCTAGTTTTGCTCCATTCAGACATTATGAAGGAGGAGGGGAACCCACCAAAATGATCCTGCATCCCCCATAAGGTTGCCTTTGCCAGTGATGTCTTTTTTTCCTGTCTTTCAGTACAAGTGCTTGGTAGAAGGCTGTACAGAGAAATTCAAGAGCAGCAAAGACAGAAAGGATCACTTGGTCACCATTCACCTTTATCCTGCTGACTTCCGATTTGGTAGACCAAAGAAAGTGAAAAGGTAACTGCTGAATTGCAATATCACAACGGGCTTTCCCACATAGAGGTAGTGTTGTGCTTCTCTGCTGGTTTGCTCCCTTTCCAGAGTAAGCAAGTTAGACTCAGAAATTAAGTTTTTTTGCCTTATCTTAACGTTAAAGTGTGTCTTAGTTCTCTCATGCTTTCTTGAGTTTAAATGCAAAGTCCAGTGTCTCTCTGCATCACCTTTTGCATGTTTACTGCCTTATCTGCAACTCTTTGTGATATTCCACTCCCAAGAAGTGTGAGTAGAGCACAAGGAGCCTTTGTAAATATAGTGGATGGTTTTCCCAGCTGGCTTCTCATTTTGAGCGAGCGCTGCACTTACTACAGGGATTAATACAGGGACTGATACTGCTTAAAACCATCATCAGTGACCTGGATGATGGGATGAAGAGAAAATTCCTTTCCTTTCTGCCATGGGGGTGCAGCCATGTGATGGGTGCCCAAAGGGACAGGGAGCCTGGGTCTATGGAGTCTTTCAACACTTGCTTGGGTGATGTGCTCCAGTCATACAGTAGATCCTGTTTGAGGCAGAGGATTGGACTAAAGGCCTTCAGAGGTCCTGTCCAACATCAGTTGGGAATCAAGCCTGTGAATAAGTTATGCTTTCTGGATAGAAGAATAAAACTTAGGGACTAAGCTGTATGCTATAATGCAGCAGTGCTAAATACTTTTGCTTAGCTCTCAAGCAGCTTTATGGCCTCTGTGGGTGTTTTGTGCAGCCAAATGTCTTTCATGCAATAACTCAAAGAAGTCTGACTTGACCTGCTTTATAACTTCATAGTGAAATACCTTTTGTTTCCTTTGCTCTGGGCTCACATGGCATCTGCTGAGAAAGGATACAAAATGTTGTCTCTGCAGTGGCACCAAGCACATGAGCTGTCCCATGCAGCAGGGTGCAAGTGTGCCAATGGATGTCAGCATGGAGACTTCGGAGCAATTCCAAGTGGACCCCATGGAAGTAGGGCCCAGTGAGAGAATGGAGATCCCTCAGCGTGCAGCCAGCCCCAGCCCCACAGTGCCAGAGAAACGACTCTATAAATCCAGGTCTGTACCACTTGCCTTCACAGGCAAAAATTTCCAGGGTTGGGACCGTACCATCTTAATTTCATACTGCAACACAGCTCAGGGTGTCTCTGTATCGACGATAAAAGAGGTAATGTTTCTATTTATTTTTAAAAGCCCCTTTTAAAAAAGAGAAAAGCATAAGGAATAAAAAGTGTGTGTATGCTGTGAAAGCCTTGTTAGCAAGTTGTTTCTGTTACTCTGCCAGCTGGTGATTTCTTCCCAGAGTACTGCAGAGTGGCATGGGTCTGAAGGTAATTCTGTTGCAGTCTAAGCCCTAAAGTATTCAAACAAGTTTCTGTCCTGCTTTGTAGCGCTTTCCCATCCTAGCTGACTCTGGGCCAAGCTGGTGTGTTTGGCTGTAGCTTTCTGGGCTCGTGGGACAAGGTATAAATAAAGTAGGTGAACACCCTCCTTACCTTTTCCAAGGCCAGATCAGCATTGCTGTATTTTCTGGTTATTTTAGATAAAAGCATTACAGAAAATTGAATCTGAACAGCCTAATACTGCCTTGACTTTTGAAATCATCTTTATCACTTACTGTAAAATCTACACACAGTGGCAGCATGTGATGTGATCCAAAGGTCACAGAAGCAGCACTGCTCTTCCCAGCACCTGGATTACTGACGTATTAGTGACAGTGTTAATGGTCAGTATAGTTCAAGTATCCTTGAGCTATCTCAGCACCCATAGTTCCAGGTTTTCCTTATACTATTCCAGCTAGCGAAGGGATACCTTGTTCTGAGTTTGCTGCATCTGAGACAGGCTCGCAGTCTGGAAGAAGCGTGGTGTGCCCACAACTGTGCCAGAGTGCCACACAGGGACCTCAGCTCCCTCACGCTTTCATTGGCATTTGCACTTCACTTTGTCTGTAAAATTATGCTGTTTCGCAACTCTAAGTTGTGAAACCATGTCTGAAAGTGCTGACCAATATGCTACGGCCTACTGGGTCTGATTTTGACAGTAGCATGTAATGGTCTATGTGACAGAAAACGGTTGCTTTACATGTACACAGGGGTAAGGTGATGCTAAGTGACTGACAGAGTGACATTTTAAACTGGACTGCTTTTTCAGGAGTAGCAGGTTATAAGCAAGGAAGAAAAGCTGTCTTGAATTTGACATGATGCTCCTGGTCATAAGAGACTTTGCTGAAAGGCCTCACTTTTCCTGTTGCTTCTGCTTTTCGCAATCGTACACCTCCACAAAAACAAACACTCTAACTGCCCAGTGGCATATTACATTTTGTAACAGCTTGTAACTGCTTGTGAAGAGAGAGGAGAGCCCTCCAGCACATGAATGAAATGTGCAGAATAAATGGAAAAGAAGACAGTATTTCCCCTATATTTTGCTTTGTTGTCTGTGATACCTTGCTCTTCCCATCCTGTGTGCTGGAAATCATGCAAGACAAAAAACATCCCAGTGAGCCTGTGTGGGAGGTGGGGTGTTAAGGGATGGGCATGGGTGCTGGGAAATGGACTGGCTATAAGCATACTGAGAGCTTGTCCAGGCGAATCAGTGTGCAGCCAGACCTTTGCACTAGAAACCTGTGTCCTACAGAGCTCCTGCAGTGCTTACTCTGCTGGCAAAAGCTGAAATAAGTGTCTGTTTCTGCAAGACTTCCTAACACAGGCTGCAACTGAGCCCTGTGCTTCAAGTCTTACTCTGTGCAGCAGTCAGTTCTGCACTGGTATCAAATAAAGATCACTTAACTCATTTAACTCCAGCCTTGCATTCTTGGGCTAAGCCAGCTTCTCATTTTAAAGCATGACTGTTCCTGATAATTGAATGGTCACAGCAGGACCTCTGCTGATACATGAAGAGCGAAGATCTCACAAATGCGTGTTAACAGATGTCTCTCTTTCCAGGGTCCCATCCACAATTTGCTTTGGGCAAGGTGCCACCAGGGGATTCAAAGGCCCAAGGAAGAAAGTCTGAAGCACTAGAGATAATCACAAGATGAAAATGTACCATCTGCCACCACCAGCAAACATTATCGGTGGTGCCGTGGCCATGCAGGAATATTTGCAGTCACATGCAAGGATCCACTCCCTTACAGGAAAGTGGAAAGAAGACAACAGGGGTTGTGCGGTTTGGGATGCATAAGTATCTCGGGAGGTACTTTGCTACAGTCCCTTTGTGTCTGCATACCTCATCCCTTGGAGAGGATTTCTGAGCAGAGCCATGTTTATATTCATCCTCCATGAGCCACAAAGCTCTCTTCTCTGATACCCCCAAAACCAAGCTACAGATAAATTTGTCTGCCTCTGTGCTGCCGAGTTGTTGTGTCTCGTCATCAGCAGGACTCCTCTGGGTAGTAGCAACTTTCTAGACATACCTTGCTTGATCTTGGTAAATGATTTTCTGAACTCCAGACAGACACAAGAATTGCACAGATTTAATCACTGCCAAAAATGCAGCAGGGGTAACACAGAGAAACATCCACTGTATGCCATCTTCTAGGAAGCCCTTCATCCTCCCAACCCCATCAGCTGGCCTGCTGGATGAGTATCACACTTCCCTACCAGCCCCTGCAGAACTGTGTTTGTATGGAGCAGTGTCTGAGAAGGGCTGTTGTTGGAGTGGCTTAGGGCTGCGCTGCTCCTGAGTGAAACCATGCATGCAGAAAAAAACATTATATTTGCCATACCTGTATCTTCTGCAATCTTGCCTTAAGTGTACTGAGCAGAGTATGTCTGAAAGCCCCTAGATAACAAGGCACAACACTTTCACAGTCTAGCTTACTTTTCGTCTGATGTTTTCTAGCAGCATTATTGAAAGATGATGGTGCAAACAGCCCTTCCGACAGCATATGGACATGGGGTGGGGTGGACTTCAGTTTCTTGTCACCAGTTGTTAGCAAAAAGTTCCAGCCTGCAGCAGTGGTGCAATGTGGAGGTGAGAGTAAAGGTGCTGTCTTGCAATGCAGGTGGAGCCAGAAAGGCAGAAGGAACCTTTGGCCTTTGCCCCAAATAACTCCAAAATCAATTGATGATGGAGATGATTTTTCCATCCATAAAGAAAAAAAATAATCACAGGAGGTTGCTGGTATGGCATTTATCCAAGAAGCTTAGGATCTGTAATTGCTTTTTTCCCTTTCTGCTCTCTAGAAGAAACAAAGGGCAAAAAAAAAGGCTTTGGAAATGCCTTGCAAATAGGAGCAGAGAGCAATTTTTAAAGGGACATAAGTGATTTCCTTGTGAGTTTTAAAATGTTTCATTATGATTAAAACAGCTGGTTTGTCCAGCTTTAATCCTTGCTCCTCAGCTACAGTGGTCCCTGGCCAACAAACCAACCGGAGCTGAGTAAAGTGGAGGGAAATGTGGAAAGGGAGGGCAGGGACAGAGTGAAGGCTGTGCAGAGGGAAGCACACGTGCTGGTAGGGACAAGTGGGGTGGAGGATATTACATAAGGAGGGATGTCACCCCACATCTGGTGCCTGCCACCACCCACAACTTCAGCAGTGCAGCAAGCGCCATGCGCTGCCCTGGGACCTCCAGCAGCAGAGGCAGGCCATCAAAAAAAGCACGTCCCAAAGCAGGAAGCCCCTAATGAGATATTTCCATGCTGAGATAACTGAAAATGTTAAGTCTCTGAACCTGCAGGCTCAGGTGCGCTGAGGTATGAAGATCACACGGGAGAAACCAAGTCTGCTGCTCAGTGCTCCCCCTTGTATGTTTAGCTCTGAAGCTTCCACCTGGAAACATCTTCATTTTTCCCAGACTCTAAGCGTCTGAGTGTCCACCCTTGGTCTTAAAAAAGAAGTAAAAATCATAATCACAGACTCTGGGCTCACTGCTGCTTCTTTTTTGGGGAGATCAGCTTTTTGCAGAGTCCATGGGCCAGCCTTTCCTGGGTGGCTGGTGCCATTGAGAAAACTTTATTTCAAGCAAGGAAGTGAAGGGCATGTGGTGTGACCCCCACTTAGCTTTGGCATCCCTGGCATGTCTCTGGTGGCACATAACCCTGTGGCTGGTGGCTCTTGGAGCTTGCTCCTCCCTGGCAGTGCTGCTGCTGGGGATGCCAGGCCTGCAGGGCTGTCTCCAGTCACTGGAGCTATCAGTGGACTTAGGATGTGGGTGGGCACCACCCTGAGGTCTTGCAGCCTTCAATGACGGAGATCTTTCCAGCTCCCCCTACTTTGCCAGCCCGGGAACCCTGTGCTGCAGAAGACAGGACTCTTGAGGCCCCAGCTGCAGTTCAGGAGCAGCCAGCACAGGAAGGATCTGTCAGAGAGGGTCCAGAGGAAGCCACGAGGATGATCAAGAGGCTGGAACACCTCTTCTTGTGAAGACAGGCTGAGGGAGCTGGGATTGTTCAGCCTGGAGTAGAAAAGGCTCCAGAGAGACCTGATAGCAGCTTTCCAGTGCCTAAAGGGGGCTAAAGCTGGAGAGGGGCTCTTTGTCAGGGGATGTAGTGATAGCACAAGGGGGAATGGCTTTAAACTAAGCATAGGTTTAGGTTAGACATGAGGAAGGAATTCTTCACTGTGAGGGTGGCAAGACACTGTCCCAGGCTGCCCAGAGAAGCTGTGGATGCTCTATCCCAGCAGTGCCCAAGGCCAGGTTGGATGGGGCTTTGGGCAACCTTGGTGTAATAGGAGGTGCCCCTGTCCATGGCATGGGTTGGAACAGGATAGGCTTTAAGGTCCCTTCCAACCCAAACCATTCTGTGATTTTGTTCTATGAATCTTGGAGGTGCTGTCTCTGGCTCCAGCACTGCCCAAGTCCAGCACTGCAAGAAGAAGAGGTGGTTGAGCAGCTTTGGCTTGCTGCAGAGGTTTTATGCCCCAGAAAAGGAAAACAAAACAAAAATCCAACAAAGGAAAAGGCAGCCAGCTCTAGGCTGTTTCTCCTCACAGTTATTCTGCCTCATTCAGAAGCTGTACCTGAGGGTCAGAGCAGAGGACAAGCCCCAGACTCACCATTTCCACCCAATGCACTGAAATGACAGGATTGCCTGCTGCTCACCTGCTACTTGCCTACTGCTGGCACCCACCAGCACCACCCTGCTGCAACGGGTGGGAGGTGGCACCAAAATCCCATTGGGATTCAGGCACAAGGTGAGCAGAAAGCTTTGTCAGGTGTAGGAGATGCTGCTAAGGAAATCATAGAATCATAGAATATCCTGAGTTGGAAGGGACCCTTAAGGATCATCAAGTCCAACTCTTGACACCGCACAGGTCTACCCAAAAGTTCAGACCATGTGACTAAGTGCACAGTCCAATCTCTTCTTAAATTCAATCAGGCTCGGTGCAGTGACCACTTCCCTGGGGAGCCTGTTCCAGTGTGCAACCACTCTCTCTGTGAAGAACCCCCTCCTGATGTCAAGCCTAAATTTCCCCTGCCTCAGCTTAACCCCGTTCCTGCGGGTCCTGTCAGTGGTGTTAATGGAGAAAAGGTCTCCTGCCTCTCGACACCCCCTTACGAGGAAGTTGTAGACTGCGATGAGGTCTCCCCTCAGCCTCCTCTTCTCCAGGCTGAACAGGCCCAGTGCCCTCAGCCGTTCCTCGTACGTCTTCCCCTCCAGGCCTTTCACCATCTTCGTAGCCCTCCTCTGGACACTCTCCAACAGTTTCATGTCCTTTTTAATGCCCACACTCTCACAGCCTCATGCACTGCTCCAGGCCCCAGCAGCTGCTAGCTCAACCATTACAGTGGCAGCAGTCCTGGTAGTGCTATAGCCACTGAGGCCACGCGCAGCACTTGGAATAACACGGTCAAAATGCAGCGTGTCCACCATCACCTCCCTGGGGCTTTGGGTGCGAGCCACATAACACAGGCCCACACGGACGGACCATCTCAATGTCCTGCTGGCGGCCAATTCCTTTCTTAAAACACCGACGACCCCCTTCTGTACTGCTCACCCACCTGCGTACACAGCCCAGTAGTGCACAGCAGGGTGCAGCTGCAGTTGTGCATGGCAGGGTGGAGGTGCAGCAGTGCAGGGCAGGGTGCACTGGCACTGCTTCCCCACGGAGCAGCAGGCGACACGTGGCTGCACCGCACCTGAGGATAAAGTGCAGGGCAAAGGCCAGGCGTGGGCAGAGGCAGCCATGGCTCTGTGCAGCACGGCCGTCCTGCTGGGCACCGCTCTCCTCCTGCTGGCCCATGGGGGCACCCAGGTGAGCTTGAGCCTCTGTGGCGCAAGGAACCCTGATGCGAGGAGCCACTGCCCTCATGCATGCCCCCCTCTCTCCTGCAGGTTCTCGGTGGCCCCGTTGGGGAGGATGCAGACATGGAGCTGGATGAGGTGAAGGAAATGTAAGAAATATCATGGCACCGCTGTTCAGGGGGGTGGTGGAGGATCTGGCTGGGAAAAGCAGCAAGGCAAAACAACACCCCCAAGCATAAGACACCTCAGGGGGAATGCATTGCTCTTGCTACATGTGATTTACCTGCCCTGCTGTCCTACATGCTGCCTCTGCTCTCCCTTCCAGCCTCCTGGGTCGAAGAGCGGTGGAGCCACCAGAGCAAGGTGAATGGGCCAAGGATGCTGGAGCAAGTAACATGGTCTGCCCTGGCAGCGCCCAGGCCCTCTGCCACCGCCTTGGCCACTTACAACCTCTGTTCCCCCCTGCAGGGTCACCCCAAGTCCAGGTGGGACCGGAGGAGGACCGCGACTACCTCTACCACTCCGCAGTGGAGGCCGAGGCCGAGGAGCCTGCTGACCTCGGGAAACCCCTGGTTCTGTCCATGGAGGTGCAGAATGGCCCTGAGAAGGACCGCGACCACCTCTACCATGGCTGAGTAGAACTGTGGCCCTGCCCCGGGCTGCAGATGAGAGGCTCTGCCCCCCCCAGGCCCCCCCCAGTAAAACCTCTCCGCACTCCTTATCCTGGTTTTCTCCTTGTTTCTGCCAGGAGCACAGTTCTACAGTTCTGTACTATCTGGGGGTGTTTAAGGAAAGGTTGGATGTGGTACTTAGGGACATGTGGCTTTAGTGGGTAATATTGGTGGTAGTGGGACAGCTGGATCAGATGATTGTGGAGGTCTTTTCCAACCGTAATGATCCTATGATTCTGTACCACAGCGCAGCCCCAAAATTCTCAGCTTTGGGGAACTTCGACAGGCTGGGGGGGGGCTCAGCCCATCACCCCGGTGCAGTGTGGGGATCTCAGCAAACCCCAACACTTCCCAGCTTGGACGGGCCCCTGCGGGGCTACCAGCAAGGACACCAATGCTGTGGCAGCACCAGGAAAGCCTTTTAATAGTGATGTTGAACTCCCTGACAGGGATCGCCTTGCCCAGCACAGAGGTAATTGGGGTGATGTGGTGCTGGGGGTGGGGTGTACACCCAGCTGAGGCACACAGGTGACAAATGGCAGCCGACACCTGTGCCATCACAGCTCAGCTGTCAGTGAAGTTTGCTTTGCGCTTTTCCACAAACGCCGTCATCCCTTCCTTGCGGTCATCCTGGTGGAAGAGTAGAGGCTGGAGTGGGGGAGGCCGTGGGCCTGCTCCACCCGCACAATGCACCCAGGGCTGGCCCTACACTCACGGTGGCAAAGGTGGCATAGAAGAGACGCTTCTCTGTCCTGTTCCCTTCCGCCAGTGTTGTCTCGAAGGCTGGGACAGGGGGAGAAGATGGGGACACCGTGCAGCCAGCACCTCCCACGGTGCTCCCTACCCCTAAAAACCCATACCAGCATTGACAGATTCCTTTGCCATAGCCACCACCAGCTTGGAGTTGCTGGCGATCTTCTCAGCACAGCTGATGGCCGCGTCCAGCAGCTTGTCCACGGGGAAGACCTTGCTGACGAGACCTAGGGGACAAGCAGGGAGCTGGCAGCAGGGTTGGGGGGGTGTTGCCGTGATGCTGGCCTCGCTCACATCCCTACCTGCTGCCTTGGCCTCCGCTGCTGAGATCCGCTCCCCAGTGAGCACCATCTCCATGGCCAGCGACTTCCCCACCGCCCTGGTTAGCCTCTGCGTCCCACCAGCACCTGGGGAAGGGGTGATGGGCACAGCGGGAGGGGACCGCCAGCTGTCCCTGCCCTGCTGAGGGAGCTGCGCCACCCACACTCACCTGGGATTGTCCCCAGCAGGATTTCAGGCTGCCCGAACTGTGCCGTCTCCCCAGCGTAGATGATGTCGCACATCATGGCCAGCTCACACCCGCCACCCAGCTGGCCACACAGCGGGGTTAGCACGGGCGTGGGGCACGCGGCACAGGGCACGCAGGGACACGGGGACACTCACGGCATAGCCGTTGACAGCAGCGATGGTGGGTTTCCGGACGGTGGCCACCCGGTCCCAGCCAGCCAGGAAGGCGCCGCCGTAGCACTGCTGGAAGCTTTTGCCCTGCATCTCCTTGATGTCCGCGCCGGCTGCAATGGGAGCAGGGGTGCTCGCGGCACGGGGACCCCACGGCAGGCAGGGCGGGGAGGCGGGCGGCCGCGGTGCTACCTGCGAAGGCCTTGTCGCTGCCGGTGATGACGATGGCGCCCACCTGCGCGTCGGCCTCGAAGGCGTCGAGCGCCCGCCGCAGCTCCGCCATCAGCCCCTCGCAGAGGGCGTTCAGCGCCTGCGGCCGCTGCAGCCGGATCAGGCCCACGCTGCCCTTGCTCCCCGCCTTCTGCACCTGCAGGAACTGGAAGGGGGGCCCTGCCCGCGGCCCGGCAGCCGGTCACGCCGCCGCCAGCGGCACCCCCCGCGCCCCCCCGCTCCCACCGCCGCCATTTCAGGGCGCCCTTCGCCGGGCGCGGCGCCCTCTGCCCCGAGGGGCGCTCCCGCCGCCCGGAGCCCCGCTCACCGGCGCTGCTGCAGCCCCGCGCTGCCAGCAGGACGGGGACGGGGACGCGCAGGCGGCGGCAGGAGGCTGCGGGGCGCAGGAGCGCGCGCACGGCGGCGGCCATGGCTGCGGAGCGCGGGGGCGCGGCCACGCTCCCCGCCCCCGCGGAGCGCCCATTGGCCGGCGCGGCCCCGCCCCGCGCCGCGCCGCGCGTGGGCGCGCACCGGCCCCGCGCGGCCCCGCTCCCTCCCGCGGCACGGACCGGAGGGGAACCGGCGGCGGGCCCTGTCCCGGTGAGCGCGCGGCCGAGGCGCGGGAGGGAAGGAGCGGGGAGCGCGCGAGCCGGCGCGATTTGGGCACGGGCACGCGGCCGGCGCGGCGCTGCCCACGGGCTCCTCTCGGCGCTGAGCGCGAACCCGCGGGCGGGCGCGCCGGAGGGACACGGGAGCACACGAGGCTGTGCCACATGTGTGTGAGCCCGTGCGTGCACGCGCACGCACGTGCAAGGCTCATGCGCGCGCACCCCGCGAGCGTCGCATGAGCGAGGGCAGGCGTGCAGCCCCGGCACGCTCCGCAGGCGCTCGCATGCCCGCCACGCACCCATGCGGCACAGGTCGTGCGGGATGAGGCGGCGCCTGGCGTGGTGCTGGTCGCTGATGCTGCTCACCGCCACCCTCTGCGATGTGGCCGCCGGCAAAGGGCGGGCGAGGGGGTGCGCGGGGCTCCGCGCGGGGCAGGGCGAGGGGGGCTGCCCGCAGCCGGCCCAGGGCCCTGCCCCGCTACGGTGGGGCCCTGCGCGTGGCGGCGGCGGCGGCTGCTGGCGGGGCGGCAGCAGGGGCTGCGCTGCAGCAAGGCCGGCTGGGCGGTGGGCCTGACTGACGGCATCGAGTATCGCGAGGGCAATGCGACAGCCGGCGCGTGGACCTCGGTGGCCCCGGGCTGGGTGGCCTGGGGTCAGGTTGGCTCCTGGCTCTGCCCGCTCGCTGCCCTCCTGCACCGCTTGGTGGCCTGATCCTGCTCATCCCCCAGCGAGGACCAGACGTGCCCCCCGCTGTGGGCCTGGACCCCACAGAGCCCCGGGCTCATGGCCTGCCTGCGCCAATGTTAAGCCCCACCACCTCAGACGCCCCTGTCTGTACCACACCTTCGCACGTGGGATTCTCGATGGTTTGACAGTGACAACGCAGCAATAAAGCCAGGCAGAAAGTACACGCGACTGGCTGCAGCCCAGGCACCGAATACGGGATGGGTGGCACAAGCTGAGTGCCCTGGGGCAGCTGAAGCCCCTGTTCCAGGGCCGCAGTGGTTTCATCTGGGGCTGGAGGTTGTGACTGCAGTGTTTGGTTTCTGCTCGAGGCACCCACTTCCCCCAGTCCTTGCAGGGTGGCCACAGCCGTCACTGAGGCACCTCATCCCCCATAGCAACGCTACAGGGCAAGGCCCATGGCACAGCCAACCCCCTCGCCCCCCAGACACATGAATTCCAGCAAGGCACAGATCACCAAGAGCCACTTTAATCATCCCCCCATGCTACCAGGGCCTGCTTCCCTGCTGCTGCTGAGATCTCTGCACCCCTTGGTGAGCCCACGCTGACCCCATCCCTCAGTCCAGCGTCACCCTGCCCAGGCGTCCGGCACGGAAGGCACGCAGGAACTCGTAAGCAGCAGCTGAGTAGTTGAGCATCGTCACGTTGACATTCCCTGGAGAAGGAGGCAGCTAATGTGAAAGAAGGTGCCAGAGGCTGGTGCAAGCACTCAGCAGAGTCCACAGCCCTACAACCCCCCAAAACCCAAGGACACACAAGACTCCCGAGACCACAGAATGCCCCACACTCCTCACCTGTTCCTGTGAGCACCTTTACCTTCTGCGTCTTGCCCAGGATGAGCGCCACATGCTTCAGCACATGCCCAATGTCGTCACTGGCCTCAGGCAGCCCATAGTGCTGCACGTACCTGCCAGAAGGACGTGGCTGCCACCTAGCCCAGGTGGTGCCTCCAGCTTCTCCCTGTCTCCACACCATGCTCACCCAAATTGCTGCTGCCTGTTCAGTGTATATAGCAGGTAGTCAGCCATGATGTCCTCCCCGACCAGGTGGTCACGGATAGCTCCTGGAAGAGAGGGCAAGTCCCGGCACCTTCAGCCTGCCTCAGCTCTGCGCTACGGCAGCCCCACTCCCAGCCCTGTCACCTCTCCCTGCACCCATGCATCACCTGTGGACACTAGGCCAGACACAAAGCCCTCAAGTGTTGGCTGCGGACAGTGGCGCTGCTCTGCCCAGTGGCCAGCGCCAGCTCAGGCCCTGAATGCATCTTACCACACAGTGCCAGCTTCATGCCCGTCTCCACGTCCCCCAGCTTCGGGGGCAGCACTCCAGGAGTGTCCACCAGGTACATAAGGGGCGTCTCACAGACCTGCAGTGGGACAGCGGGGCTGTTATACAGGCAGGGACATGTGGTCCAGTAATTAGCAACACAGGCTCAGGCAGGGGTGGTGACACCACTAACAAGCTGAGCTCTTCATTGGAGTCTTGATGCAAAGTAACGGGGTACCTTGACAGGCTTCTGAGGACATGCAAGCTCTCAGGCCCTTCTCCAAGGCCAGCACCCACCCAGCTGGCAGGGAGAAAAGGAACAGTACCTGAATTCTGGTCAGCACTGCCTTGGTGACACCCGGCTCACCACCGACTGCGGTGGCTTTTCCTTTGGGGAAAGGAGAGAGTGAGGGAAACAAGTGACGTGCCTCGGCACGGCTATGCCAGTGGCTCCTTCCTGCGCCAGAGAAATACCCTTTCTGAGGTGCAGCCTCCGCAGTGAGTTGATGAGTGATGACTTGCCCACGTTGGGCACACCGATCACCATGATGTTGTACTCAGCATTCTGGAAGCAAGGGGGATACGTGCAGGAAGAAGCTGGTTACCAGCCAGCTACACCTCAGCAGCCACACAGAAGCAGCCCAGTGTTTGCCAGCACTTCCAGGCATGCAGCACCCTCTCCTCAGCGGGAGAGGGAGGTGCCTGCAGCCCTGGTTCCCTGGTCACCCGCTTGCTGGTGGGGCACAGAGACCGCAGGCCCAGAGTGACACTGCACACATGCTTGCAGTCTCGTCTCTTCTCACCTCGGCCCTGTCGTAGCGGGGACTGCTGCTGATGAGCTTGGCAACCAGGGGGACAATCTGCAGGGAAGCAGGGAGAAGGGCTCTCACTTGGGGCCAAGGAGAGGATGGGGCACCTTGGCCAACTGGAGCCAGCCTTGGAGATGTGGAATACCGTGGCCCAGTGATGCTGGTCACCAGGCATGCTACTACGTGTCACCTCCCCACAGCATGGCACAGCGGGGAGCCACACTGGGATTGCTGTCCCATTACCTTCTTGACATTGCTGTCCCGCTGGCAATCAGCAAAGACAACATGCGGACATCCCTGCTGCTTCAGCTGCTCCAGGACTTTCTGTGGAAGCAGAGGCACTTCTGGCACTGTCCTGAAGTGGCCCCACAGGACCCCGGCCAGCTCCAGCACCCCTCGTGCTCACCGGCTGCTGGCGAGGGTCGGCCAGGTCCATCTTGTTCAGAACCAGGACGTGTGGGCGGATGCCCAGTGCCTCCTGCAGCATGGGGTTACGGCCTGACAGCGGGATGTGCTCGCTGCTAAGGTGAACAACCGTGTGCTGGCAGCGGGGGCAGATACTGGGGAAAACAGAAGGGCTGGGGGGGGGGGGGGGGGGGGTCTGGGGGCTAATTTAGGGGTTACAGGGCTTGTACGGGGGGGGGGGGGGGGGGGTTAAGGGACTTGGGCCAGGGCACCAGGAGGCAATGGGACACGATGCTGGTGTCAACGCGGGGCGAGGTGCCGGGAGGGTGGCGTGGCGGAGGATATGCGAGCGTCGTGCACCTCGACCAGGCAGTCTGCGCGCCTCAGGGAGCCCCGCATCTGCCGCAGCCCTGGAAAGCAGCGCCGGGTGCTGAGCGGCGGGGCGCCCGCCGAGGGGCTCGCCCGCCGCCGGGCCCTCACCTTTGGCCATGTGCCCGGGGAACCAGGAGGCCACGTCGCGACCGCCGAAGTCGAAACGAGCCCGGAAGGTGCCGGGCCCCCAGCCAGGCCCGCCCGCGGCGGCGGCGGCAGCGGCGGCCGCTCGCAGCGCTCCCGCCCGCCCCGTCATGGCGGCGCCGGCGGCAGCGGGCGCGCAAGGGAGGAGCGGGCGGCGGGGGGCGGGATCGCGACCGGGGCTGGGCCTCTCCTCTCCCCGCCCCGCGCCGTTCCCAGAGCCATGGCGACACCGCGCGCTGCAGCGCCTGCGGCGGGGGGCGAAGCCTCGGCGGCGGGGCCGGGAGGGGCCCGAGGGGCGCCCCCCGCGGTCCCCGCCGCCCCCCAGCCGCCCGCCGCCGCCCCCCAGCCTCCCGCCACCGCCCCCCAGCCGCCCGCCCCGCAGCCCGGCCCGGCCCCGGCGACGGCGACGGCCCCGCTGGACGACGTTCGCTTCATGATCGCCAGCACCAACTGGTACTAGCGGCGCTGCGGGCCCCGCGGGCCGCCCTCCCCCCCCCCCGGCGGCGCCGGGTTTAATAAAGGAGGCTCGGATGGCTGCGGCAAGGCGGGTTTATTGCGGCTCGGCGGCTCGCGGGAGCCGGTTGAGGCGCTCGGCCTCCCGCCAGCCCGACAGCAGCGCCCCGTGCGTGGTGGAGTAGAAGGTGCGGTGGGTGGCCTCGCCGGCGAAGAGGAGCTGCAGCGGCTGCGGGGAGGTGGGCGGTGGGAGGTGAGCTCCCGGGGGGGGGGGGGGGGGCTGCGCTGAAACAGCTCCCCCAGGACCCAAAGGCCTCCCGTCCCCGGGGTCCGGCGTGGTGGGGGGGGGCTGTGCGGAGAGCAAGAGGCGGGCACCACGGTGGCAAAGGCCCAGGAGGAATCCTGCGTGGCCTGAGGGTGCTGGGGAGCGGGCGGGGGGGAGCTGCACATCCCCAAAGTGTATGGGAGTGTATGGGAATGGGGTGCCCCCCTCATCCCTGAAGCTTGGCGGGAGGACTCTAGCGTCGTAGACTCCTGAACAGAGCAGAAGGCATCTCCCTGTCCTTCTTGGGGTACCCTGTTCCCACCTGTGGCCACCCATCCCCGCGCATCTGCCCAGTCAGAAGAACAGCAGCAGGGCGGCTGTCCCATGGGTCCCATCCACCCGCCATTTCCCAGCATAATTACCCTGGGGTCTGATGCGTCCTCAGGCAGAGGCTGGGCCAGCGCATCAATGTCATCCCCTGAACTGCCAACAGCCACGTAGCTGTAGGAGCCCCGGGTGAAGGGTGCACTGTGCCACTGGGACCGGAGAATGCTCCGGGGAGCAGGCAGGCTTGGGTTCCCTACACACACGGGGACAAAGCTGAGACCTGTCCTCCCATCACCACTCTGGGTGTTGGGAGAGTCCCCCAGCTTTCTGCCTAAGCAGCCTGGGAGCTCTTGCATGGAGATTTAGGGGATCTTCCATCTCTGAAGGCAGTCACCCTTGCCCCACTGGGCAGCAGTGGGTAGGGGAGCAGGTACCTGTCAGCGTGCGGAGAATGCTGGTCATGGTGCGGAGAACCTCTGCATCACTTAGCGTCTCCATGTACTCCGCCTCCTTCCCAGCAATGAAGCCACAGAGGACGTGCCCAAGCCTGGGGGAGGGAGAGGAGGGCACCCGTCAGGATGGAAGGCGATGGGGCTGGTTCCGCGCAGGCAAGAGCCCTCTCTGCCCTGGGAACACCACCATTCCCACTGTGCTGCAGCCAGAGGTGACAGCAGCTCTGTGAAGGCTTGACGCCACAGACAGGACCAAGATGCTCATTCACGTTGTGCTGAAGGTGCCCAAACACAGCACTGCCTGCCAGCACCGCAGAGATGCCACAGCGTGGGGCTGAAGCGCCTAGCCACATACTGCTCTGGTGGCTGGAGGACCACAAAGCCGATGAGCTTCTTGAACCAGCTGGCTTCCAGGTCAGTGCTGGGCTCTGCAAGGGGTGACTCGTCCTCCCACACCACTTCCAAGAGCTGCTGCTCGGGCTCCCAGAAGGGTTGCTCAAACTCCAGGAAGATCTTATTGTTGGTGCCGAAGCCCAGGCGGCGAATGGCCTCGGCTTTCCACGTGGGCAGGGGGGGCTGGAAAAAGTCGTGATGGTGTTCTTTGAGGAAACCTACAGAGAAAAGATCAGGCAGCTCCTTCCACTGCAATCCAGGTGCTCACTGAGCCTGGGGTGGCAGTGGGGCTCAGCAGGGTGATGCAGCATCCAGGGAAGGGGATAGGGCCGCAGTACTTGGGTTTGGGATACTTTATCCTCATGGTCCATGGGAAGGGGAGGCTGGGAAGGGGCTCAGGCCAATCCTGCCCATATTCAGCCTTGCCAGCCAGAAGCAGCGCACAGGAACATCCCCTCGTGGTGTGGGGCAGGGACTGGGTGCCAAGGGATGGGCCGGGCAGGGAATTGGTGGTCTCACCCAGTGGGACGGTGATGATGACGTGGTCAGCAAGAAAGGAGTCACCGTCCTCACACTCCACCCGGACAGGGAAGATCCTCGCCACATCCCCCTTCTCACAGAAGGACCCCTGCCACTGGATGGTTTTCACTGGCTTGTTGAGCAGGACGGTGCCCTCAGGCAGAGCTGCGAGCATGCGGTCGGGCAGGCTGCTGTAGCCGCTGTGGGAGAGGATGACAGCCGGGATGCCTGCCTGCCCCACTTGGTCACCCTGTGTGGGACCCCAGCAGGAGCTCCCCTCTGCTCCCTGCCCTACACTTACCCTGGGAAGGTGCAGTCAAGGCCGGGTAGCGAGGTGTACTCCCCAAAGGACCCCAGGGCCACCAGGTCCATGCTGTGGGTGCCGCTGATGCAGCACTCCAGCTTGAGACAGGTGCTGAGGATGGCCAGCCGGAGCCTCTTGCTGTCCTCATTCTCATCCCAGGTGGGGGCCAGCCGGGCGAGCTCTGCCCGCAGGTACTGCCCCACGCCTGCAGCAGGCAGCTCCTTGGCGTGGAGGAAAGCCTGGGCCGAGCCCAGCAGCTCAGAGAAGAGGGCTCGGGTGCTGCTCACCAGCTCGGGGCTCAGCACCTTCCCCGAGCTGCTGTAGGTGACACAGGGCAGCAGCGGGTGCCCCCCGGCCTCCACCCGCTGGTTCTCCTCCTCGGCAGCGCCGGGCCCCAGCAGGCCGTAGCAGGAGGCCAGGCGAAAGACGGGGTTCCCCTCCGAGGGCCCGTGGATCCAGTGCGCGCCCAGCTCCGCCAGCCCCGAGGCTGCAGGAGGGGGACGGGCTCACCGCGGGGCTCCCGAGCTCGGAGCCCCCCCGCCCACCCTCCACCCTGTTCCCTACCGAAAGGGCGGCTCCAGATGCGGCCCCCGGCGCGGCTCCCCGCCTCCAGCAGCCGCACAGCGCCGGGGCCCTGCAGCCGCTGCGCCGCCCCCAGCGCCGCCAGCCCCGCGCCCACCACCAGCACCCGCCGCCCGCCGCCGGCCTCCATGGGGCCCGCGCCGCTTCCGGGGCCACCCCGGATCTGCGTGGCTGTGGGGAGCTGAGGCAGCGCCACAGCCCCGGCTCGTGTTCGTTTATTTATTGATATTTATTTTGTTCTTCTGCATGTGCGGGTATGGGTTTTGCAGCACGCAGCAGGGTGGGGCCGTGCAGAGCAGGAGCAGGCGGCTTGGCGGTGGCACCGCTGTCAGCTGGCCCCATGGATGCTGTTCCCCTCATCCACCCCGAGCCCCCTGTGTTGGCTGAGGAAGGCTTGGCTCCATCCATCTCCTCTCTGCCACAGACAGGGGCTGCTCCCGGCCCCCAGCCTCCCCGTGTCCAGATGCAACTGGCCTGCTGAGCCAGGTCCTGCTCTACCGGGACCTCTCCATCAAGGCCAGGATGTGGCTGTAGAGGCGCGCGGGGGCATCCAAACCCCAGATGAAGTCCCAGTGGTTCCAGTCAGCAATGTGCACGTAGGAGACGACGTGGGCAATGCGGGGCAGCAGCAGGTGCACGTCCCTCCAGTCGGCTGCCCAGTCCTCACCTCCTGACCACACTGCAGTGGGCACGGTCATCTTCTCCAGCTGGTAGGAGGGAGGTGTCTCCTGGAGAGACACAGACACGTCTGAGAACCCCCACAAGCTAACCCAGCCCTGCAACACCTGGGACAGACTCGGTGTGAAGCTGGCAGCGGTTTTGGATGGGGACATCCTGGGGGATGAACGCAGGGGGGCTTCCCCGGCCCCCGCCCCTGCCACCTGTCCACCTCCCTCCTCCTGACACCAGCGCTGCAGCCTCCTCCTACCTGGTGGTATATGGCTTGGTTTTCACTACCATAGTCAAAGGCTTTGAAGTCTCCTGAGGTCATCACCTGGGAGGAGAGGACCAAACTGCAGTGAGATGCGCAGTGGGGCCCCTGAGTGCAGCTGCAAAAGTCCTGCATCTCAAAGCCTCCTTGAGGGACTCCTTTGCAAGAGGGTGCTTGGTGTTTCACAGTGGGGTAGCATCCCCACAGAGCCGGACCTTCCTCTTGTACAGGGGTGGTGATTTGACCTCCTGTGTCCAAGTTCACAAAGCAATGGGTTGCACATGATTTGGTGCTACCCTTGCACCTGTGTGACCCTTCTCGCCAGCAGTGTTTTGTGTGCAGGGTGCTGCGAGAGAACTTTGTGTTGGTGACTTTACTTTCACACACTCAGTGTCCTTCTGCTCTCTTTCAGAGAACCTACCTGGGCCCAGTGTATCATGTTTTTGACAGATGTCCTGTCAGGATAGTGGGCTGTGTATACATCCAGCCGGGTCTACAGGGAAAAACATTCAAGATATCATTCCTTGCAAATAGTTAGGAACAAAGACAACAGTTGCCAGACAATGCGTTTTCCAAAACAGCCACTGCTGAGTTGTGCTGCCTATAGACTTGGTTCAGGTTCAGAAATGTAATTTCCATTAAAAATCAATTGCTCTGGCACAGCTGTGGTGCTTCCTTGCACTGCCAGGAGGTGTAGCATGTCTCCTGGGGACAAGCAGTGCAAGTGCAGAAAGCTTGTGGACTTCTCCTTTTGGGGTGGCAGCAAGAGGGGTACAGAGGCACACATACCATGTTGAGGTTCTTCTCATTGTAGCCTCCCAGCAGGAACAACAGGGTGGCACAGGGCTTGTGCAAGACTGGGTGCCTGCACAGATCAGGAAGAAATCTCCAGAGCTTCCTCATTCGCAGTGAGGCATCCGTTTGGCCCACCAAGAGCTGGGGAAACAAAGGGCAAAGATAACTGCTTGCATTTCTCTTTCTGCACCCACCCCTCAGCCTGTCTCCCGCAACCCAGCTGGCCAGAGCCCTGCAGTGTCCCCACGAGCTGTCCTGTGAGGGGATGTGCTGCACAGGGTGCCTGTGAGAGCAAAACCTGCTTCCCTCTACCCTCCACCCTGCTGGGATGTGTGCAGGTCACTGAACATTGTGTTGCCTGTGTGCTGGTGGAAGGCACGCTGGGGAAGTCGATGTTCTTGCCTCTTCTCTTTCACTCCACCTCTCTGGTGGGTTGAAAGCACTGGATTTGTTTCTCACTGTCACTAAAATTGAGCTCAGGGGAGTAGAGTAGGGACCAATCTCATACCTGAAATATCTTGAATTGTCTGTCAAGCAGGAATGACATTTTCATGATTGGACTTTTGGCGTGCTTAATTATCACTGCAGGAGCCAGGGCAAAAAACATTTTGATTTTCTGAGCCAGTTCTGGCATGGATGAAAATGCTATGAATGCTGAGAAAACAGAAAAACACTATGAGACTTGTTGGTCTTTGTTCTCTCTTATGTCCTCTCATACATGTGGTGGCCTAGGTGGTAAAAAAAACAACAACAATGCGTGTTTCATTAGAAAGCACAAACTGTGACCTCCATGCAAAATGCCTCTGTGTTTGGTGTGGAACATTGCAATTCGATTTTCTGGGCTGAAATTTGATTTTCAGGAGCTTACTGAGGTCACCAAGAAATTTTCCTACTGCTCTGGAGCATGCTGGTCCTTGCAGTTCTCTTTTATAGAAAGCACTGCTGCTGAGGGATTCCTCACTGCAAGAGACCTTCTGGACATTGCCTTCGTGTGCCTGCTCAGCTGTCCACAAAGATGGGACCTCTCTAGAATTTCTGCTCACATATAGAAAAATTATTGCTTTCAAGGTGGTACGGGCCATGCCTTCCCTGCTGTGAAGAGAAAGGTGATGTCCAACCCTTTCTAACACACCAATAGTGGCACCCTGAGAGTAGCCCACGTAATATATCTGCTTCTGGCCGGTCTTCCGCAGAACAAAGTTGATCATTGCTGGGAGGTCGTACATAGCCATTTCATGGAAACTGCAATACAGGAATAGCATGTCAGTTACAAGGTACATATACAGAAGGCTTTGATATCTGAGGGTAATTTTCCAGTAGAAAATTCTCATGGCCAAGAAGAGCTCTGTGGTGGGTGGAACTACATGAGGTCCAAAGGCATCTCTCCTGCCATGGCCTCATCGTTCCTTGAAGAGGCTTAGTCCTCCCATAACTGTAGTTGGGAAACTGTGCAGACCCCAGCCAGCAGTGCAACACAGCATTTCAGGTGCAACACATGACAGCTCTGCAGACCCACAACTGGCTCTGCAGGTCAGGGTGCCAGCACCTGCTCTGCTTCTCAAGAATTCCTGCCCATGTGTCTTTTAGAGTGATATGGTGAAATGCAGACCTACATTATTAGCTTGTCTACTGCAAGCTGATGTCTCCACAGGGTGGAGACCTACAGAGGCTGCAGCACCCCACTGCCTGGAGATGCTGGCACCATATCACAAGCTGGGTTTGCACAGGTATCTCCAGCCTTCCTGCCTCCAGCTTCCACTGGAAGGTCTGGGGGAGGCCATGTCTGGGACTATATGCTCTGACTTGCCTGCATGGAGGCACCCACCTCTGCCCAGAGGTTAGTGACAGATGGGAAAGTTTGCCAGCTTTTGTAATCCACTCCAGCCTACCTGAAATCCCAGAATTCAACCTGATCAATGGAAAGATGCTGGTGTCTCTGGGACCAGCGTGTTCCCCGACTGTTTCCCAGCCAGACGTCATAGCCAGAGTCCGCTAGTATGAAGCCAAGGCTGTTGTTAGACAGATTTTCAACCCAGTTGCTGCCTTCACCAAGTAGCCCATGCTGAAGAAACACAACTGGTTTGGGGCCTGGATTTGAAAGAGAAACAGCATGTTTCATTGAAACAGAATCCCCCTACTTAACCCAAATTCAGGCTAAGAAAGCCATCCATGTTGCATGGTCAGACAACATGCAATGCATGTTGTTATGACGTCTTGAGAAGACGAAGCCTGGAGTAAGACATCAGATCAGGGACATTAGGAAATCTCTGCTGTAGTTGTCTCGTGGCTATTATCCTGGTTGTCTCAGGCTGGAGAGCTGCTGTTGTCTCTCCCAAGTCCTTCTGGTCCAACACTGCCCATCCCCTCAGTGCCGTGGCCACGGGCAGCTCACAGCAACCATGTAAAAGCTCAGGCCTACAGGCCTGTCCCCAGGATAGTACAGATTCCAAAGTCACGGATTTAGGAGGAAAAAGTAAAACTAAATTATCCCAAGATATGTCTGCACCCTCTGAGCCTTGAAGCCAAGTTGCTGCGTGATAAAAAAGGTTTCCATGCTGCACCCATTTGCTGGCTGGCAAAACCTCGGCTGCAAATTGGAGAAGTGCCATGGATTTAGTATTTTAGCTTTAACAGCATATACTCCCTTAGCTGGATAAATTTCATCCCTTCACACAGATCTCAGGTAGCTGATCAGTGGGTTATGCCTTTTTCTTTGCTGGCTTCCTTGCCAAACAGAACCATACCTCCATTTCCAGGCTTTTCTCTCCCATGAGGAATTCTGTTCAGGATGACATAGTAACCATCACGAGTCAGGACTTCATACTCCTCGCTGGGGTACCCTTTGTAGCAGATCATTTGGCTCTGAGAAAACAAAAAACAAGGTGGAAAACCCAATCAAATGTTTGAAAATACCAAATGCTGATGTCTGCAAGGGATGAGGAGGCACGGGCAGTGTCTGAGCAGGAGTGGGGCTGCTCAGGGTCAGGAGGCAGCAGGGCCCAGCTGCAACATGCAGCACGTGTCTTTGGATTCCTCCAAAAGTGAGGGCTGAAAGCAAAAGGGCTTACTGGCTACTGATACTAGCAGCAAAACATGTCATGTCACTGCTCTGAGCCAGCTGGCGGGGCAGATAAGATCGTGGGCATATCCATCCTGCAGAGCTGGGCTGACTGGAAGTGCCTCTTGTGGCAACAGGACAAGCTCCATAGGATTTTTCACAGGACTCATGTGGCTCTGCCAAAGCTTTATCTATGCTGAAAATTCAACAGATTGGGACATTTCAGTCCAGTGAAATCAAGCCTACAGATTGCCACGCTTGCATTTTCACATGGTTGCTGGAAGAGGCTGATTTCAGCAATTTCATTGCCAAACTCCTGAGTCCATCTAAAGGTGCAGCCTCCTGGATCTGCAGTGCTGGCCCAGCTGGGAGTGGGGCCAGCAG